TTTCTGGTTCGTATCAGACAGCTCACAAATCTGAACGAATCACACTTTGTTGCTTCTCCTTAGAGGTGGTACAGAATCGGCTTTTATTCAGTTGTTCTAGAGCTATATTTGACGCGCAGTTGTCCGATAGTGTTGAGAAACAAACATCAAGCTATAGGTTTTCTTTCAACGCGTGTTCTGAGTATTACAGTGGAAGTATCTCATAAACACCAAACAATATCGTTCTTTCGATACTAGTTTTGTGTTTCATTGTAATGTCTGTTTTATTGTTCTCTGTAGTAAGTGGAATATCCGTACCCCCGCTGCACATGATACTTCAAAGTTTCTCACCTGGACAACTATCCGATTTTGTCCATTTGTGAATGATACAGCGCTTCGCTGGTTTGTAACTGATTCCATTCTAATACACATATCGTGTTTAACACTGTCACGTTTTCAACATTAATAATTGTTTTGAGACATTTTCGTCTCTTGTGAAGTGGACTGCATGGCACGAAGCAACAGAATCAAACGCATTGGAAATTTATCAATTCTAACACGATTACTAAATATTTGTTCCATTTTACTTTTTATCGTCTTAAACTTTATTGAGAAGCAATTCACTTTGAAGAAGTTTGGTTTCAATCGCTTTTAAAAATACATCAACAACTTCACAGAGGTTAAGATCGATATATGAACGCATTACACAGGAACTGTTGTCAGTGAATTTGCATAAACCACGGAAGAAATCTGTTCTTTTCCATTTTCGACTTGATGTCAAATCAGATAAGTATTGAACTTTTTCCAATTATGCCAGAGCCGATTCTCATGGTCGAAGATATAAATCGCATTATATACGTGCGTACTTACAGTCCTTTTACACCCACTGGTTTATTGCACCCTTTAGACTTGACGGACTTTGTGGATTTGACAGAAATGCTTGTACAGTTCGCGTATGCTACACCGTCCTTGAGTGAAAATTATATAAATTACAAATAGCGATGCTATACGTGAGCACTCAGTTCTCATCTGAGCGCAAAGTTCATATTGCACACAAAAAGATCGGATAACGAGGATAGAAGTACCATAATAAAAGCTCCAGAAGTCAATGAATCAGGCCGCAGATTGGCACCGTGTATAAGGGTTATCAATCTCGGGTCACGCGTATTACAGACTGGGGAATTTCAAACAGCGATTCGACACCCCCAAACAATTGCAATGTCTATGAGTAATGGTGTCATTCGAATCTTGTCAGTCAGTAAGTATTTAAGTATGTGTGGAGGATTTCGACCTCGAGAGTAAGCATCTCCGACAAAGACAATTAAAGAGTAGTTAAGATTAGAAGATCGGGGATAACCTTTACTAGAGTAGCAAGCTTGGATTAACCCAATCGATTGTTAAGAGGCACCAGACACTCTTGATGTTCTTGGGTGTGGGTTTCACTCTTTGGGACATCGGTAATTCCCCACAATTTCATGCATTTACATGCGATGTAAACGTTTGTGATAACCGACAAAGAGCACTGGACAGCTGTTTCTTCCTGTTTGGGACTCTTCAGCAGTGCGTACTTTTTTGTGTCCCCGTCAGGACTCGAACCACAAACGTTCGGGTTGGGACTCCAAGAGTCCTTGGTGCCTCTTAACAATCGAATGGGCTAATCCAAGCTTGCTATTCTGAAATTGATTGAGCAGTTCGCAGAAGATGATGACCGTCGACCGTATACGCTCTGCTGACGAGTCCCAAACAGGATGAAATAGCTGTCCATAGCCTTTACTAGTTTATAACTAATGACCACAGTTTCAACTTTCCCAAATGGGTTGCTAAAGTCAAGTTTATTGGAAAAAAGTGTAGTACCGAAGACAGACTGATTTTAGAGTGAAGTAATTTAGAATGTATGAAATGAAATGCAGAGGAGTTCTTTACAGGTACTTCGACCTTTTTCCTTATTGTTGTCAGCTTGAATCAATCAAACCTATCGAAGCATGAACCCGGGATCTTCGAGGCCAAGTACCATTGAGTGCAATAAGCAGCATAAACTTAAAATCCCACAATCAATTAAACCTACTGTCCACTTATGTTAACCGGTCTGTTATGCCCTGGGACCTAGTGAACCGCACAAAGTTCCAATAAGATAGACGACCTATCGAGCATAACGATTGCTAAGCTACCTACTACCGTCGGGTAGCTTTTCAACCTGTTTCGATTTTCAAACTTGTTGAAAGCATTCGGTCTCTCAGCTTGTACCAGACTCCACGTATGTGATTGGGTTCTAGATCAAAATTGTTGGCTAACCGATACAGGGACATCCATAGCATTCCCTCTGAGTATACTGGACACAAAGTGAGTGGGAATAAGATCAAAAGCATACGCATCCGTTCATACAAAATCATGCAAATTTTGGGAAACGAAACAATCATGTGTTAATTATGTTTTTCTTTCGTTTGGTGATTGCTTAAATGTTCAGTTGTGTCCTATTGGACCCCTTCGTGTTGTACTTAGCCAATAATCGCATGATCACGTCCATCGAATGCCATAGTGATGTGATCATTTGGACATTCCATTGAGTGAAAGAACTACTCGACACAGTAGTCTCTAAACACTGAATAACGGAACAGCGGACAATGAGGAGTTGCACCTTTTTACAATTCTATCACTAATGTTAGTAGACATGAAAATTCCCGTTCAGTATAAGGTTCTGATGAACAGTTAGAACGCATATTTGTTCCATGCCACGTTCAAATGAGGACTCTCAAGATATCCTAGGAAGCTGTTGTTAGGTTCATCATGATTATGCATTGCTGAAGACTTAATCCTCATAGGACAAGTTTAAGCTTTTCAACCACTAACCATGCACTTTCGTACGCCGGTTTTGGTTGCTATCTTTTGGTTCACTTGGATAAAAGAGAAGGATGAATATGGGAATGTTGAAAGTTTATTTAATCAGAAGATATAGAATTCCTATTAGTGCATAAGCGCCACTGTTTGCGACACCCAGACATATCGCTCAGTGTCTCTAACTATTGGCGACCATGATCTCCAGGTTCCTATCCAGGAAATCTGGAGATACCTATGTGACCTAGTGTCCTGCTGAAGCTTTTCATACCCTCATGCCAACCTTGACCTTTTTCCAACCACTTCCGGCCTCGGAAAACATTGCTCGCCGTGGCAACCTATCTGGTGACATGCTTAACGCATGCCCCAACCAACGTAATCTATGGAGGTCGCCTACCTGCTCCAGTGGACGATGGCGACTACTTAAATCTCTACGTCTAACCTCAGCTCTTTCGGTTACCACACCAGACTCGTGCAATTCGACGTAGACAGCGGTGTTCGAACACCGAAAATCACAACTAGACTTCACCTTGACGTGGTGTGATGGCTTGCGTGCCTCCATGGCCCTGCGAGCTAAACAGGATGGCTTTTCATAGCTGTAGATCCAATCATGCCTGAAAAGTCAATGGATAAAGGCCAGACAAAGCTCAGTCTCACAAAGCCAGCCGCTTGGACACCTCCTGGCTTCCTTCGTCTATTCACACCCGCCCCTGGAGAGGCCACATCGGCAGAGAAACACGGTGAGGGAAAGTTTACTGGTCGAAAAAACCCCGTCAGGTGGATGTAGAAGCGGGGTACCTGGAGCTTCCCCTCGACGGTAGTAGAAGTCTTCGCACTTCACTGGACAGCTACCGCTCGCCCAAGCTGAGCAGCCCCCAGCCAATAAGATGCTGTCCCGTCCACGTTCCGCTTGTCTCATTGGATGTATGAGGCTAAGGGCCGATCCCGAAAAGCGGACCGACAATCAACGCATCAGCGAAAAACACAGTTATTCGAATTTCAAAGGCCTTACATGGCAGGTCCCTAGAAGCTCCCACATGAATGCTTCGTTCACGCTCCCACGTCGGATCTACGCCCCACTGCCTTGTGGGTCAGACCTTTGAGTCAAAGGCACCGGTTTGGGTTCCCAAACAAAACCCCGTCGTCAGTGTGGGCTCCCGCGAAGTATTTCATGCCCTAAAGTCTCAGGTACCCTCATTAGACAAACTCGAACCGGTACTGATTTAAGGGCACGTAGCGTCGCAACCGTTTCCTTGGATTGAAAAAAGCCTTGAGGAGCAAAAACTAGGCATCGATTGCTAGTTTGGAATAGGTTTGTTCTTTGCTGTTGGACTTCCTTAAAAAGAAACGAATAACCATTTTTGCAAGATCACGGCCAATAGTTGACAATAATTACTTCAATTTCCGTCGCACAGCTCTCTAACAAACTTAGTCCGATGACATGGATGCAATGAGAATTCCGTGCATCAAACACCAGCAAAACTTGTCGGACATTTCGCAATGATGTTTCCACGTCAAACTGTTCATGTTAGTAATTAGCTGTAGATGCAAAATTGCGAACGTGACCCGTTCATGCACACTTGAAATACCTGCGCTTTCATTTTTCGTTTCATTTTACTTCCTTTTATTGAATATATAATATACACTCATCAGAAAAGGGGAAGCGGCCAATCAAAGGGCTGCCATAAGACAGACTGGAGAAGTCAGGCGGTGCTGGTGGGACTCGAACACACACCTCTCTGGGAGATAACCTTTACCACTTAACCACCACCACCAAGTGATGGAAAACTTATCATTCCATGCAACATCACGTGTATATAGTAGTGTTAGATTCATTAGCTAGTCCATACCTGGTAGACTATACTCTCTGTGTAATAAGCCTAAGTCGATTTTACTTAAACGTAGTTTCAGTTTTTACAACCATTAATCCTGTACTTTCGGATTTTGGTTGCTGGTTACTGTCTTTTGGCCACCCGTGAGTTGTTCAGTAAGCACCAACACTGAGGTTTCTGTCCAAATGTGATTGAATAATCGGGTCCTTTGGACCCAGCTCGCATGTCCGCGTAGTTGATATTTCAATCCTAAACGTCTCACTCCCCTATCTAAAATTTATTTTGTTTTTTTTAAGAAGTGCTATGGTAACGTTCATAATCAAATATATATTTTGAAACCCCTGTTCGTCAATTCAGCTCATCTGAAGGAACCACTCGAGGAATACATGGCTCAGCTGAAAATAGTCAAAATCGTTCGAGCGAAACAAAGAGAAGGCCTAATTCGAGCCCGAATGCTTGGTGCACGGGCTAGCACAGCTGAGGTGTTGACGTTTCTGGACTCACATATCGAATGCACCAAAGGTGAGTTTCATTTGGATCGCGGACATCCCAGTATTATCAATATGGGTGTATTGCTTCTCATGGTTTCATACTATCAGAAATATGTGTTTCCAATCGCGTTGCAGGACATGATTTGGAATCGAGGTCATGCCGAGTTTTGGAAAACGACAGCACTAGAATGAGAGCTTTGAATGATTGCAATTAAACTGTTTGATCATGTGGTGTTGTGTTTGTTGAATGTTAAGACCCATGAGGACTGCTCAGAACGGATTAATACGGTTTGTTTTCGAAGTTCTGAAGAGGCTTTGTTTTTTTTCGTTTGCTAGTTTTGAAATGCTAGATGATTTTTGTAGATTTAAACTTTGACGACACATGCGTCATGGAGTCCATTGTTAATTGTCCATATTCACGTCTTTGATACCTCAAATAACTTCGGTCGATAATATCCAGACTTGAAGGTGTTTCATTCCTTCGTTTTTTTTACCGAATTAGATTTATCTAAAACTTACCCGTCTGTTTTTGTTATATATCGCTAGATCTTACATGTTTCCCAACTGGCTTATTCATGGAACAGCAGCTATGCTCCCTAATGTCTACAATCGTTTTTCGGCCAGATTCTCCAGAAGAGCAATTGGTTTTTACCAATTGAATTTTTGGAGGCATTCAGTGTGATCCGCGATACGCCGAATGGATTGACAGCTTACACNTTATCATTTTTGCAAAACTCTAAGCTGGTCAGGGCAGTCAATCGCATTACTACCAGTGATAATGGCCTTACCAATGGTGCTGTTTACCAGCTTTTATCAGTATGTTTCGAGTGATAGCACTATTGTTTTCCTTCCCTTGTTTTTGGCACAAATACGGCAGGATATATGCAAATATAGTGGTTAGAACAAGCTCATCGTCATCAAATGACAATCTGGTGGTAAGCGAGTAGCTATTATTTCAGAATATTTTTCTCCTATAGTCTCCCACTCTCGATCCCTGTAATCTTCAGAGTTCTCTTCTTTTTTGTGCAACTGCACTCTTGATGTTTGTGGCACTTCCGACCCTAAAGCATGTGATAATATATGAAGAAAAAAAAGATTGTCTATTCAA